CCGAGTACGTCATATGCGGTACCTCATGAAATTCTTCACCTTCAGCCATTCTGATTCCCATTATGAGATTGACAAGCCAATCGTTACTCTGACGATCTCGCTTCTCTCCAATTTCATACGCTGATGTGAACGCTGTGGTCAACAAAGTCTTGTTGTCGCCTATAGCAACGTGAAAAAATAACAACTCGATTGATTTATGGAATTTTCTAAGAACTGCGATGGAAAGAGAATAAATTACTATAAAGGTTTACTAAAATGAAAGAATACACAGTATTCAACCAAAACTAAGATTGGCAAGTCTATTATGAGATGTCAAGCATATGTAACATTGGGGTCGTCAAGAGTATCCCATATTTACAAATCCTCTTCGTTCTTCAGGTAATCAGGATTTTCATACATCTTATCACGGGCATATTGTTTTGCTTGTTCCGCCTTCTCCCATGCGTAATCTCCTGCTTCTCCTGCCTAAATATCTTTTCTAATTTTATAATTATTTTGAATGTAAGAAAAATGAACCCACCGTTTCCCTGGCACTGTCCCATGTATTCTCAGCTGCCTGCTTCCCTTGTTCCCACCGCTCCCCAGCTGCATGTTTGCCTTGCTCTAATCTGTCCCCAGCCGCTTCCTTGCCTCGTTCCCATGTATTCCCAGCAGCTTGCTTGCCTTGCTCCAATCTTTCCCCAGCCGCTTCTTTGCCTTGATCCCACATCTCCCCAACCGCTTCCTTGCCTTGTTCCCACTTGTTCCCAGCCGCATCCCATGTGTCTGAGGCTGCTTCCCTACCGTCTTCCCATTTCCTCTGCGCCGTCTCGGATGCTTGTTCTCCAGCTCCAGTTATCTAAGAAGGTGGCGTTTTCTTTGGTGTTTGAAGCAAAAATAGTTTCATAGAGCGCGCAAGACATAAAAATTACTAAACAAACATTGTTTGCTGGAAAGTAGAAGTATTTCAGAATGAAACCACTTACAGTGTCATAGGCAGATTTTGCGGCATTTCTCACAGCTTCTGCGGCTTCGCTGAGTTTATCGGCAGCTGCATCCTTTAAATCTTGGGCCTTCTCGCCAGTATTGGAAAGGATTCCTTCCCCGGCTTCTGCGCTGTCGGTGATGAGAAGAAGAAGAACTACTGTTTGACAAAGAAACTGCATTTTTATTTGGTTGCTTCTGATTAACTGTAGAGATCTGAATAAAGTCTTCATCAATTAAATATATGTGCAATAACAAGGCGGAAAACTATTTAAGGTGAGGGGAGAAGCAGAAAGGAAACTTTGTATGCGATATAATTCTAGAAAGAATGATGGTAAACAACTGGCATTGCCTTGCATCACACATTGTAAATAACAACGCTCAAGTAGGCGGGAGCCTAACGAGATTTTGCTGTTGTGAGGGAAGATGAAAACTGTAATCTAGTTAAGTAACCAAACAATTTTCACTGCAATGACTTCGCACTACTTTTACCTAAGTCTGCAGAGAAATCTAAAAATACGTTATAGTATAAGTATAACTACAGTAGTTCAAACGATTGGTGATGAGAGGAAATAAAACACGATAGTTCTTAAATTAATCATGACAAAAGTAAGAAGAGACACGATGAACTGCTCTAATTCTGTTGATATCAAGAATTAGCATGGCATACAACGCACAACCGAATGCTCCTGGAGGTACAGCGATTTTCAAATAAAAAACATGGAAATGTGTGT